CAATATTATTCTTAGGGTTCCTTATCAGAAGTATACCATAAAGGACCCCAAAATCCTATTCTAATTATTAAGGCCCCGGCATTATTCCCCGGCATTATTCATGCTCGTACGCCAGAGTAAGGAATAGACACGCCCAGCAGCAGTCACTTTAAATGAATGTTCTAAGTTTAGCCAACCAAGCAGGCAGGGAGCACACGGAATTCCACCTCGGGCCTTCACTATAATCTCCTAACTGGGCATGCATCACTATCCAAGTTTTGGGTTTTACATTCCATGTTGGGTGAACTGGCCAATTGAATGGGAACTAGAGTCTAAATCCCCAAACAACAGTTGTCGTGGAGGCTTGCTTGCCTTGTGCGAGTTGACAAAGTCGAGACCCTAAACCCTGCACTATCATGCCAGTTTGGGCGAGGGCACCAGGGCCCGAACAAGCATAATCACATAATATCTATTCTATAAGGTTCCTTAGATTACCCCAGAATCCTATTCTTTTCATTGAGGGCCTTATGTTCTTAGCTAGCGGGGTGGGAGAAACTGGGACCAAGCCAGCCGCCAGCCTTCGCAGCGTTACAGACAGTGCACGAACCACTTTCTAGATACCCTGGCCGCCAACACCATCGATGCTTTCCCATAGAAGCCCACTGTGCAGGCCACATCGAGCGATGCCGGGGGTCGTCTTTCCAATACTCTGTATCTTTTCTGGTTGTATTTCTTTCCCATACTTCATGTATTCCAGTCGTGACACTCCTTGTCACACCTTCTGTGGCCTCTGCCGGCCCACGAGACTTCGTCTGGCAGTGTCCGGGTAAACCGTAAACCCAAAGCCCCAAGCCTTAAACGGGAACTGAACCTTTTGGTGATTCGCTGAGAACTGTAGGAGGCAAAAAAGCCTTCTGAAGTTTAGGCGCCCAACCTTGCCAGGTTGATCGTGAACCAGCTGATCGAAGAGGGCAGCGGTGAGGCCCCCGACATAATGCAACGCAACCCCTCCTTTAGGATCTAGGGCTTACATCCTATGGAGCCAAAGAGATCATACACCCCAAACCCAAACCCGAACCTTGCCATAGGGATGAAGTGGTACTTCATCCCCTGATTTGGAATAATTAGGGCTTTGGGTATTATAGTGTACTATCCCCATAAAGGGACCACAATTGGGATATGCCTAGTAAATACTCAAGCCCCTACATTCGACACAAACCTGCAGTTTCTGATTGCTTAAAGACTCCTCGGCCACTGCTGTTTAGGGTGCAGGGACGAGACATAGCCAGGCCACGACAACGCGGTTCAACAGTGCCACGGGGTAGCTTATGCTAAGACTGCATGTTGTGCGCTCTATCTTATGCGAGGGGAAGGAGTAAGGTTCATAGTGGTAGCTACTTCTCACGCCTGGAGCCCAACCCAGGGAAGCAACTACCTGCACATCTGCTCAGCAAACAGATGCATAGATTCACATGTGCTGGCTGGATCTCTCTGGATACAAATGTAGTTGTAGGAGTGTGTTTGTGCACATGCACATGCACATGCACGCGCACACGCATGCGCACACACACACACACACCACACACCGCACACCACACAC